TTTACTCACACTTAGTGCTACTGAAACTTCTCCTCAATATTCTGAGTTCTAACTTAGATTCTCTTCATCAGCAAATTATATCAATCCCTTGCCTCTCTTCTATAAAACCAGGAATTTCTTTTACAGCAAATAAGATTAGAAGCTGAAAATGAAGGATAATTAATTATCTTTAGTTAGTAAACACTACAAGGTTCTATAATTTATTTAATGCAAAACTAATTAAAGTATTGTAATGACTCATCTCTAATAAAATCATATTGCTGAGTTTGCTAATGGCTTCAAATATTGACAAAGCATGCCATACTCATATGAAACGAAGCATTGGTCATTTGTAGAAGTATGTCCTTTACTTTTTTAAATTTATGTTTGCATGCACTCAAAAGATAAACTTGATAAATATGAAATTTCTCTAAGAATTCCCCAAAGGAGTTTGAAAAATGACATTACAGAAAACTTAAGATTAACTCTCCACAAAACTAGTTACCCTAAAATTCCCTGAGGTGTTTAAATTCATATGAAAACAGATTTTTTAATAATAGTAAAAGTGAACACCTACAAAACACTTGTTTTAGGCCAGATACTATTCAAAGTGCTTTAGAGCTGTATTCATACATTAAACATTAGAATAGCGCTATTGATAAAGCACTACCATTTTAAAGGTGAAAATAGTAAGGCATATCAAGATTAAATAATGTTCTCAAGATCAACAGCAGTAGAACCAGGACATAATCACGTGCAATATGGCTTCAAACAGGGAAGCTATAATTTTTAAACATTTTTAGTATTTTCATAATTTTCTTAAATATATTAAAAATAAGGAATCAATAACAAATAAAGAAAATGCATACAATTAATACTATTTCCTTGAGTGTATCAAAGTGCTATTATTTTGTCATATGTGTTGGTTTCCCTCAAGTATGAAGAATAAGAGGGTCATTTAAAACCAACCAAAGTGTAAAACATTTTCCAAAATACTGTCCACTTTTTCTAAAATACTGGACAGTATTTTGTACAAAAGGTGAAGTTGTCTTGGATTTCTGTGTTCTGGAATTCTGTTTGTTCCAAAGTTGCTCTGGCCCAATGGACCAACTCTATTGTTCACAACATCAGAGTGAAACAGGAAGGATGAGAGCGCCTGCCACTTATTGGTGTCCACTCACCACTGTCCATGAATGTTTCATTGATTACATGCCTTATCTAAACCAAACCTGGCACATTCATATTTACCATATTCTATGCAAATTTGGCTGCCACTTTTCAGAAATATCATAGTGGGATGGATTTACAGAGAGTTCTATGACGGTAGATTAAATGCATTGTTTGCTAATTTATCTAAATATCTACAAGATAAAAGCAAATATAATGTCCATAATCTATGGTATCTGGACAATTGCATACATTTTGCATTTTAAATCACGAACCTATTTTCATCATCATGATTTACTCAATTATTCGACAATTTATTGTGGAAAGGATAGTGAATGCAGGGTTGCTGGTAGGATTTCTTTGAATATTTGAGGGTCCAGATTATTTTCCGATGAAAGGAAACCTTATTTAGCAAGAGTGTATTATTCTATAGCCTTCTCGTGACAAGAAATATCTATTATAATTACCCTATTTCACTAATAAGCTTAAGAAATATGCATTCAGATTTCTAAAATAGGATATAAATAATAGTAATGTGCACCTTATTATGAAAAATAGTCACATTTTTCAAAATAATTATCACAATGATATGGTAGTGTACATATTTCTATTTATAGATGAGGAAATTGAGGCTTGCAGGAAATTAAAAACTTAACTCAGCCCAACCAGCTGTTGTTAAAACAGCAATTCAAAATTTTAAAAAAACCTAGAGGATTCTAAACTACATTAAAAAGCTAGTTAAAGGTTAGAATGAGGATTGGCCAATTAGGATTATTAAAGGTAAATAAGGTAAATATATTGATTAAGGTATAAAAAATTTGAATTCAATAGAAAGATGTATTTATCCTTTTATAAATTCCTCACTCTTTACAACATAGTTCAAATTATATAATGCAAAATTGACAGACAACTAAAGAAAAACAATCACATATCCACTGTCATTAGTAAGAACATACAACTCTTAGAAACATAATTATTAAGATTGATCCAGTAGGCACATATAGAACATTGTACCTGTCACATAGAAAATATACAAAATTATCTATCACATAAAAAGCATTTCGAAAAAATCCTAAGCCATTAAGCATGTCTCATCAATTGCAGTCACTAACTAAAACTAACTAAAAAAAAAAAATTGTAAAACTTAATCCAGTAACCATAATATAATCAATTTTTTAGTATCCCAGCAAAACAAAAAACCCTACAATACCTAGTTACATTCATAGGTTAACTAGTGCAGAAGGATTTTAATGACATAAAAATTATAAAAATTGAAATGGAAAAGAAAAATGTCATTATTAACAGAAAGCATAATAGTCTACACAGAATTATTTGGAATTTATAATTGTGTGTAGCAATGTTGATATATATATAAAATAAATAAATTTATAAAATAAATAAATAAATACTTTGAGCACTTTTCTATTTGCCAGTAGCAAACATTTTTTAAATAAGAAATACAAGCACTTAAAAGAGTGACCAAAATGATAAATTGCAAATTTTTAGATAGAAATTGTAAAATTTGACTCAGATATTAAGAGTCTTAAATAGCTAAATACATATATTAAATGTTTGTAGATACGAAGATTCAGTATCACTAAGATGTTAATTTCCCAAAATAGACATATAGATTCAAAATAGTGTATTCAAAATTCTGAAAATGGGCATGTAACATGAAAGACAATTGTGACATTAATATGAAAGGCTAAAAAGTCAAGAAGAGTCAAAGTCAGCATAAGAAACTGCCTTGTCAGAGCGTAAAGCTTACTTTAATTAAGGCACTGTTGTCTTAGCACATTAATAGACAAACCACCTGGAAAAAAAGAGCCAGAAGAAGACTCATGCATATGTGGAGCATAACACTGTAACACTGCAGAGGAGTAGTTACAGAATGAAGTGGTCAATAAAAGGTTTCAGGACAATTGTGGGCCATATAAAACATATACAAAAACGGACAGAGATGGCCGGGTGCGGTGGCTCACACCTGTAATCCCAGCACTTTGGGAGGCCAAGGCGAGCGGATCACAAGGTCAGCGGATCGAGACCATCTTGGCTAACACGGTGAAACCCCACCTCTACTAAAAATACAAAAAAAAAATTAGCCGGGCGTGGTGGTGGGCGCCTGTAGTCCCAGCTACTCGGGAGGCTGAGGCAGGAGAATAGCGTGAACCCGGGAGGCGGAGCTTGCAGTGAACCAAGATGGCGCCACTGCACTCCAGCCTGGGCGACAGAGCCAGACTCCGTTTCAAAAAAAATTAAAAATTAAAAAATTAAAAAATGGACAGAGATTTAATACCTACCAAAAAAAGCAATTTCAGATGGATGGATCAAGAACCTATACATGGAAGGCCCACTTGAAAAATTCTAGAGAAGTATTATTCCATTATAAAGATTTCATAAATAACAAAAAGTAGAAATCATGTATTTGATAAATCAGATTACATTTATTAAAAAAATCTGTTTGTGGAAATGAATCCATTAAGAGAGTGAGAAGTAAATCCAAAAACTGGATGAAGATAGACCCAATAATGTATTAATATCCAGAACATATAAGGGGTTCCTTTCAATTAAAAAAAGAAAAAAAAATGTGAATGGACAAATATATGAATAAATATTTCACATATGAGAAAATACAAATTGCCAGTAACGATACAAAAAGTTGCTCTAGCTTATTAGAATTCAAGGAAATACTAAATGTTAATAAAACTATAATGAAATACCATTTTGTATAATCATTTGGGTAGTTACTTACAAGTCTGAGAAAATAGGAGTTGGCAAGGATATGGAACAAAGGGAACTCTCTCATTGTTGCTGGTAGGTGTAAACACACTTAACAAATAACCTAGAAATCAGTTTGGTGATGCTCAATACATCTGAGCATGCACGTGATAGTAAGCAATACTACTCCCTGAGCAGTATTCCCTTGAGAAAGGCTTTACATGGTCACCATGAGATATGTACAAGAATATAATATTGCAGGCCGGGCTCACTGACTCATATCTGTAATCCCATCACTTTGGGAGGCCTAGGTGGGTGGATCGCTTGAGGTCAGGAGTTTGAAATGAGCCTGGCCAACATGGTGAAACCCTGCCTCTACTAAAAATACAAAACTTAGCCAGGTGCGGTAGCATGTGCCTGTAATCCCAGGTACTCGGGAGGCTGAGGCACAAGAATTGCTTGAACCTGGGAGGCAGAGGTTACAGTGAACCGAGATCTCACTCTAGCCTGGATGACAGAGCAAGACTTTGCCTAAAACTACATATGTGTATTTGCCAAAAAAAAAAAAATATATATATATACACACACACACACACACACACACACACACACAGAGACACACACACACATATATAAAATTGCTCAAACTGCTTTATACATCAATAATTATCTTTTTGAGTTTGTAATTATTTCAAAATAAAAATAAAAGTAAAAATCCTCTCAAGAGAATATTAAATAATTCCATCTAAATTTTTACCCTGAACAATGCTTTAAGAAAAAATAATCTTTATTTTGAATTTTTCATGAAAACTGACAATATTATGTAAGGGAAATTACTCAGTACAAGGTCCTAGTAACCTTGGATCTCTTCTAGGTTTCACTACAAACCAGCAGTTTAATCATATATTACTTAACAAACTTTTGTCTTTATTAACTGATAAAATAATACTAGTATCATGTAATGTATTCTTAAGTTGGAATATTAGATAAAAGATATAAAGGACTTTGGAAAAAACCATAGGAAAACTTGCCCTACAAAACTTTATGTTTTCCTAAGTCCTTTCCTAAGTTTCAGTAAACATCTTCCGTAAGACCATGATTGGTAGCGTTCAGTGCATACCAATGCCTGCGCTTACCAGCTGCTGCCCTTGGACACCCCAGGCCGCGTACTGCAAGACGGAGTCCTCTACTTCCGGAGGATTTAACTCCCAAACTTCCCTTGAAAAAATGTGAACATTTTTACATGAACAAACTGAAATCTACACCAACAACTTAGTAACACAATTGCTCATGAAAACCAGAAAATCAAAGAACTTACCTAGTGTGTATGTTGTAAATCACATATGAAGCAGTATATGAATAATGAAAAATCTGAAATTAAAAAAGAAACATTATTGATCATAGTTTTATCTTAATGTGAATATATATATATATTCTTAGTAAAATCCAGGAAATCCAAGACTTGGTGTTAAGCAGAAATGAAAATATAAATTATTCTAGCTCAGGAGGTGATTACCCTCTCTGTGCCTTATGCCTAATTTTTATTTCTAATATCAATTCCATTCCTTATTTAATCCACTCTATCCTGAGTATAATTGTGATTATATTACCTTCTTGTTCAAAATTTTCAGTGATGCCCTATTGCCTATAAAATAAAATTCAAACTGCCTTATCTGATGTTAAATAATTTTGTTATTTTGGCTTCTACATGTTTTTCTAAACTTGTCACCTACTGCCTCCCTTCATACAGTCTATACTTCAAATTAGATGGATTCTCCCGGTATGTCCTGAACTTTCTTTGCTTTTCCTCTAAGGACATTCTACCTTAACTGAGGTGAAAATTCTACTCCCTTATAATAAAACCCCTGTATGGAGCTCATATTGATTTCTTCTATTGAAATTCATCTCACAGTTTCTTTCCTGCATGACTTTTAGGACACATCTCACTCTGTAGTGAAACTATATAAACATTTTGTGTAAGTCTCCTTTTCCTACTAGAATGTTGTCAGATACAGGTGTCTATTACCTTTGTATCCTCCACATTACCTAGCACAGTGCCATGTTTATATGCATTCAACTGATATTTCTTGAGTGATGGTTCTTATGGGAAAAAACTAATGCATGTTGAAGTGTTTGTTGGTGAAGTCAAAGTGAGATAACACTTTCCACACCTTTATAGTAATGGTAGAAAATGACATATTAAGCAGATGGCTTCAAGTATATAATAGCTAAAAATCCCTTTAAAAAAAAAAAAAAAAAAAACACTATCTTCCCAAGGACTGCAGAACTCATGACCCATTAAATTTCAAACAAAAGACTGTAGTGCAAAATGCAAAAATGCCTCTATGTTTTGCTTCTTAATAATGAGATGATGAAATAGTGGAATACAGAGGAAATGAGGAAAATTGCAAAAGATGGGTTAGGGAAAGAGATGATGAGTATATTTCTGTGAAAATTATTTTTTCTCTAAGCTATGTGAATCTAGTGAAGAAAATTGCTCTTTAGCTAGCTATATTGTGATATTATTATTTCCAGGATTTACAGAACTTTTATTGATACTTTCATTTTTCAGTATGCAATTGTAAAAGCTTCTTTTATTCTTGTAGTGGATATACATTGCACAAATATTACAATATTGTCAATTAAAACTCCCTAGAAGTCAGATTGTTATTTCTTCTCACTGGAATAATAGCTTCAATTAAATATGATTGGCCACATATTTGGCAAAGAAGTACTATGTTCTCTCTTTGCAATGAAATTGCAAGCCTTCCACCATTTGTTAGAGTATTGTGTTTTACAATGAAGCTTTATGCTCCCATTCCTTTTGGAATAACTATTAAATCTGAGATTGCCTTTGTGATAGGGCTGTAGAAGCAAAAATAATTTTTCCTGGTGTCTATTTTGACATTTACATTGTGTTCTATAAAGTTCTATACTTTACTGCAAATTTAAATCTTGAATTTACTAACAGAGCTGACAAAAAGATGAGAAATGTGACCACTCTGTCAACACTTTCTCTCTCTCTCTCTCAGAAAGCTCTGCTGCCAAAGCAAACTGCGAAGCGAGTGCTTGGTCTTCAAAGAAGATAAATATATCATGATGTCCTGGGGGGAAAGAGAGTATTCATCCTATCTTTGAATCACCTACCACACTGTACCTGGCTTTTAGGCACACATCTATCTTGAGAGAAAAAGTTGCTAGCCATTATCATTTTAGGTAAAACAGTCACTGAGACCTAACTGGGTATAATTATTGAATCTTGGTCTCTTTCTGTACTATTTGTTATAGAGGTTTCTGCTCATTCTCTAATTGTAAATCCAAAGGACTTAGATGTCTTCCAAATGGTGTGACTGGAGAAGGGGCTATATAAATCCACCTTCTGTTCTGTAGCTCTTAGCCTGATAATAATATTGTCTCTTGCAGTGTGTTGAGGGGAAGACTGCAATAAAGAAGTTAAACTAGACTTGTCTGCAAACCCACAGCAAAATGAAGTAGCATATTATAGGTTTGGGCCTCATCCATTATCTATCTATCTATCTATCTATCTATCTATCATCTATCAATCAATCATCTAGCTATTCATCCATCCTACAAAGCCAGCAATTTGCCATCTTCAGATAATTAGAACCTAGCCCTTTACTCTGAGTTTAGAACTCTTTCCCCCAAATTCACTATCTTTTTATGCATGTGTGTGTGTTCCCAGCAGATTTCAAATATTTGTTGTTTTTTAACTTTCAATAAGAAAAATCACGTTCCATGCCCACAACAGAATAAAGAGTATGGGGGAGGGCAAAATCTTGAACAAGGTTGGAAGAAGAAGTTTCTATCTCTCTCTCTCTCTCTTTCTTAACATAGTGTTGGAGATATTTTAAAGGGAGGGGAGGATTTTCAATGAAAATTAGATTTAGATTTACTGAACATCTCTATTAAGGCACTCTGGTCTAAATTCACCCTGTGTTAACCTGCATCTCTTTCTCTCTCTTTCCTTGGATAGCATTTCTACTCTTTTTTAACATTCCTTATTTTCCTTTATCTTAAACTCCCCTCTATATAACTAAGTAGGTCTTATTTCATGATGAGAGGGTAAAATCAAAGTTACTTAAGATTAGGAAGAGTAACAGTTTTTCCTGTAGTGATTGGCTGCTGCATAGTGAAAGCCAAACTGAGCATCTGATGGGACCTCTGGGGACAAGCACATTTCACAGCCCAACATTACCGATTCATCCCATCTCTGCAAATGATGTTCCACTGCTGGTTAGAGTGTGAATAGTTATGGAAAAGGCAGCGGTGGTGGATAGAATTCAGATATACCATATCAAAATTTGATCAAAGCTTATTTCTGGAAGCTGGCCTTAAGATATCCAATCATTCAATTCCATCAAGAAAAGTATTAGGAGGATCAGAAAACATCAAAAGATCATGTAACCCCATCTGGGACCCATCATCTCTATATTATACTGTGAACCCTAAGAAGAAGTTGATTACTAAGAGTTGACTACTACAAGTGGTATAGATAATTTTCGTTATTTGCAGTTGTTTTTACTTGTACTCTCACCATAAACACTGAATTAGCAATTACTGAATCATTGGTCCTAGGAGAAATACAGGATCAGGTTCCTGTGAGCCTCTGGTCACAACATTTTCATGAACCCTTTAATATATAACCTATTTCATATGTGTTTCTGTTTAAAGACACCTTATTTTAAACACCTTATTTTAAAGACACCTTATTTCATTAACATTGAACTCACGGCCAACAACACTATAACTCATGCTTGAATGAGGCTTATCTAACACATGTATTTGCTCCATAAGGCACACCACAGCATTCTTGCACTAAGGAAAAGAGGATAACTCTTTATCACTATGCTTGGGGGCAGGAGTGAGTGGTGGGGAGTGATTTTAAACAGGAACATGCCCAACAGAAAGCACAACAATGTGAAAACCATGTCACTAAGTAGACCCTCAAAATGATAATTGTTTACAGTAAAAGAGCTGAAACAGGAAGGCACAGTGTCACCTTGTTCAACCTTAGCTGGGAAAGTAGACAACAAGCAATTCAATTGTTCTGCCATCCTGCATATGTCTATGAATGACAGTGAAAGACCTAAGAGTAGATTTGGGGGGGCACAAGTTAACTTTAGCATGTAGCTGAATTTGTATATATGGAATTTATGGATAATAATCTACTGTATTAATTATATAAACATGGCATGAGATATTATTGGAAGAAAGAAAAAACAGACATATTTTAGTCCTGCCAAAATTTGAACACAAGGAAAGTACAGAAGTTATCCAAATTCTGATATTCATGCTCTGTAAATGAAAATTAGCTACATTCACTTATTTAACAAATTTCTGTTAAGCAATATCTTTGATACAGGCACTACAATAAGTATTATTTTTTTAAATTATCATAATAAAAATTTTTTAAAATAAGATAAATAAGAGTGTCAGTTGATAATTTGTATTTACTTTTATATGTTGTTTGTTGGTTTATAAATGACTATTGAATACTAATTATGTAACTATTGGATACTAATTATGTGCAAGCTCATAAATGAGGTAACTTGCAAAATGCAAAGACCAAGATAAATGTAATCTCTGTCCCCAAGGAGCTTATGTTCCATTCAGTGCAACAAGGCCAAGAAACATTACATTGGTATGGAATACTCTGTTGTAGGTCATGGTTCAATTAGGACTGCATATTATAAGTCCATTAGCTTTCCAATAAATGATTAATCTTTTCGGTTTTAAGAGCACATCATAGAAAATATAGTAGTTGACTTAGATGAAGTAATTTACATAGTTTAGAAAAATACAGCTAGTGTGTCACACTTAAGATAGCCCTGCATATAATAACAATTTGAATTCAGCTTTCACTACATACCAGATTCTGCATAACACTTTACATATATTATATAATTTAATATTTACATCAACCTCAAGAAGTGAATATTATTTATAATTCATAAAATAAGCTCTGCCAAATTCAAGCTTAAAACTGAAAGTTTAGGTAGGAAAGAGTCACAATCTGAACCGAGATCTGTCTGATTACAATCCACTTTGTGATTGAATCTCTCTGCACAATACCTTTCAGGGAGCTAGTACATGAAGCATGACTCCAGTTTTGCAAAAGACTCATTTCCAAATTGATAGAAATATGCATGAATTAATTGATTACCAGAGTTAAGAGAGATTTCATTTTGGAAACATGATCTGATATATCAGATTAAAAATGTAAATTGTCTTTTCTTTAACTGTTTTTCACAATTTTTTTTTCTTGGAATATCAGTTATTACCTAAGACATCTATGGGGATTCATGTCAAGGAGAGTTACACTTAAAAGAACAAAGAACAGCGTACCCTAG